TACGAGGCCACCGCAAGGATGTGAGCTGCCTGGATCTGTGTGGGGACGGATGGGGGCTGTCCCAGCACCCAGCCAGGCTGCCTGGCAGGGCCAGCTCTGCTCTGCACCACCATCACCCCGGAGAGTCCGCAGTGCCCTGTCCATTGGCCACGCAGGTCCCTGGGGGTTCACATCAGCCCCTGTCCCCCGGCTCCCCCGCGGGCGCTCTCCTCCGCAGGATGTGCTCCAGCAGGAACGTCGTGGCCTGGGCCAGGATCTGCTTCAGCTTCTCCTGCTCCTCAGTGCTGAACGGAGCCAGGACATAGCTGGACACTGTCACTTCACCCTCCGGCCGCCCGATGCCGACCCTGAGCCTGGTCATCTCCTGGGAGGAAGAGGGAGAGCTGGAGGAGCCTCATCTCAAGGGCCCGGCTGAGACAGCTGGGTCAAGGGGACGGTGGTGCGAGTGGAGCTGTGTGGCTAGGGAGCCGCCCCTCATGTTTTCCAGGTGGTTTTGAGTGCTTGATCCAAGAAACATGATTTTGGAAGAGGCTTTTGCTGGGCTGCACTGAGATCCCAGGCTCCTGCCAGGCTTGGCACAGCCACTTGAGCTAATTGTTTCCATGTACTCCATGGCGGCCAAACTGACATCAGCCCTCGGGGAAGCAGAGGGAAGGAGGGGAAGAAGAAAAAGGGGGGAGAGGAAAGGGAGCAGGGGCTTGTCTGAGGGGAGGTGGAAGGAGTGGGGGAATGACAAGCCATGCATTGAGGTGTGGGGAAGGATTGATCACCGTCCACCAAGGCCCACTCACGTTGGACTGCAAAGCACTGATGCAGGATCGGACCCCGTTGTGTCCCCTTGGGAGAGAAAGAGAAAACCCACTGTCAGCCTATAAGAGACCCCCCACGCCCATGGTATGGTCTTGGGGTCTCTTGCTGCAGGGACATGGGGATGTGATCCCAGCCAGGGGCTGCAGCCCCCGTGTCTTGGCTCTGCAGGAACATCCAGCCCCTGGGGCTGAGAGCAGCTGCCTGGGGAGGATGAGGGAAGGAGGGCTGGGACAGCACGTTCTGCGTGTCTCGGCTCTTGCTGCAGCTGGTGCACGTGTGACTGAGCGCTGTGGCCCACAACCATCCTTGCCCTGTCCCACAGTGGAAGATTTCCTAGGTTAAATGTCTCGAGGCTGACCCAGGAGCTGGCGCTGGGGCAGGCAGGGTGTAGGCAGAGTGCTATAAAAAGCCCATGTGGTGCAGCCGATGGGCTGGATCCAGCCCACAGCCGCTTCCAGGAGGCTCCCTGCCCTTCCTGCCAGGGCAGGAACCCAGAGGCTGCCCAAACAGTCAGCTGTTGCCTCTGCAACTGGGATCGAGCCCAGGGCTGGTGGGACAGGGCCAGGAACGGCCCATGTGCCTGTAAGAGCATGGCAATGCCTCAAGCCAGCTCATAGAACCAGAGAGCTGGGACCACCCCGTACCTTGCACTGCCTCCCAGCTTGATCGCCACCTTCCCTAGGGCCTTGTCCAGGTCATCGTGAACCAGGTAAATGTCTTCTGGGCGGAGGTTGTAGATTTCAGCTTTGGAAACAGACATATAACCCAAGAAGTGAGAGGGAGACAGACTCACCAGGCCCTGACCCTGCAGAGTGGGGCTGCAGGGATGTGTACTGGGGCAGGGGGACAACAGGGCTGTCACGGGGCCCAGTGGCACAGCAGGCTTTGGGGTGACTGAGCCGCTCACCGGCACTGGCGACGCTGAGCCCGTTGAGGTTCATGAACCTCCGTGGCTTGACCAGCACCAGCTCCAGACCACGGGCTGCAGCCACAGCCACGTCAGCGCAGCACTGCCTGTCCACTCGCCAGCCCTCGGCCACGCGGGCCCAGCCGGTCCAGCACCGCCATGCCCACGTTGTGTCGTGTGCCCCGCAGCCCGTAGTTGCCCAGGCCAGCCACCTGCCCACCGGGTGTCAAGAGGGCTCTGCTGGGTCACCATGACACCCTTGGCCCCTCCACGGGCCTGATCCGCAACCCCTTAGACCCGCTCCCCCTCAGCCTCCATCCCCTCAGCCCTGATCCCCCCACGCTCTCCCAACCCGGCTGTGTCCCCTCAGGCCCGATACCCCTCACAGCCCCGAGCTCCCCGGTCGGTTCGTGCTGGGAGAGAAACCCCCTCAGCCCCGAGGATGCTCGGAGCAGCCCGGCCCCGCGGAGATGCGGGGTGATGCCGGTCCCTGTCCCCGGCCCTCAGCAATGTCCCCTCCCGCGGAGGGGCCAGGGGACACCCCAGGGCCGGGGTTAGGCCTGAGCCCTGAGCAGGGACCAATGGGGCAGGGATCTGCGAGCGGGGGCTGCTTGCCCAGGGAGGCTCATTTCCATCCCCAGGAAGTTCCCGCACACCCACAGAGGCACGAAGATGTCCCAGAGCCTGGGGACAGCCATGTCCCCACGCCGCCGGGGCCAAGGGGGATGCCCAGCTCCTGCCATGGCCATGCACCTCCCTGGGAAGGGCTCCCCTGCCTCCCCACACCTCCCTGCCAGCACTATTAGCAATAAACCCACTTCCTAGGAGTGTGAAAATCAAAAGAAAGCTGGCATTTAAAAAAAAAAAAAAAAAGCATCAGCAACAGCTGAAGGGCCCGTT